TAAGTTTTACTTTTATTTATTCATCCATTTATTTATTTTATGCTTTTGCCATTAACTTTTTCAAAGTTTGTCTTTTTCAGTAGCTAGCAACTAATACAAATTTGACACAAACGTAAACTGCTGAATACACATAGATGTGAGCAAATACACAGCACACAGGTGATAGATAATATACTAGACTAAGCCAGACTAGCTAAACCCTAACTAACACTTTTAGTCATCTAAATTAATCAAAACTGCTTTCCACTTACATCCAAAAAAAGTATCATTTATTTCCACCTGTCTAATAACTCAACAGAAAAAAAAACTCCTAGAATAGCCGATGATTACCATCACCATTCGGTAATGGCAAACTGAGAAGGTTTCAAAAACAAAAGTAAAAAGGAAAACAAATGACAACAAATTTAACCTTATTGAACTTACTCATAAATTATTATATATTAAAAGAAAAAAATTATACAAATTAAATAGTCTGCCGTTCATTCTTCCTCCATTTTTTTTCCTGTGTTCCCGTCTTTCCATTCATTTTTCGTCGGTGTATAATCCATTAAAAAAAAGAAACGTAGACAAAAAATAGAAAAAAAACTATCTTTTTTTCCTAGTCTTTACTAATGAATTTTATTTTCCTCCTCATTGTTCTTTTATATCACATTTGATTTTACTTTGATAAAACAATTTCGATAAGTAAAATCATTTTTTTTTTCATTCCATTTCAGTTTGCAATATTTTTTTTTTTTCTGCTTGCTTGAAGTATATGATTTTGACTGCGTTCTAATTTAATAATTGAATATTGAGAAAACAAAAAAAGCAAAACCTTTCTTGCCGTTTATACAAAATTCCCAAGAGTATTGTAGAGAAAAAGCAAAAACAACCAAACAAGAAAAAGCAGAAGAAATTTTCTTTCCCCCTCTTTTTCCTTTTTATTTTTAACAAATACTTCTAACCACATTTTTTCATCTGTTATTTTCTCCACACATTTTGAACCCCGTCAATCAAATGTTTCAAGTTTTTCAAAAAAATAATGCTTATTTTTATTGTCACCAACGCTTCAAAACAATAAATTAAGCAAAAACACAATTGAACAAGAAAACAAAAACAACAAGAAAAAATTTTATTTGATGCTACGCTAACATTGTCTATACCAAAAGAACTAGCCCAGAGAGCCTCCTGAGACTGTAGCCTTGAGGACCCCTGTAGCTATGAATCAAGGAATCAGGATCTTTAGATTTCAAGCAATGCCAAACATGTTAAATAACAACTAGAATTGGTTGGTTATAAATTACCGAAACCCTGATTACAGAAACCTTTCACTAACACCTTCTTTCTCCCTGAGCTCCAAAATGATTAGAACAACGAATGACTTTTTGCTATTTGACCGACTGAGTGGAATTATAGCTTAAAAATAGAAAGACAATTAGAAGCATATATTTAGAGCACTAAAGAGACAAATGCCCATTAAAAACCCCCTTATAACAAAAAAACAGGTTGCACTTTTAACCTTCCGCAATTATTTCATTACACCAAGCTTACTTAAAATAACTTTCAATAAATTTTTCCGCTTATTTTCGTGCTTCTCTGTCTAATGACGTTGGAAGCTGCAGAAAGGCTCAAATCTGCTAAAAATTGCTCATCTTCACTAAAAAACAAACAGAGACCCAGTGAAATGACTGAAACAGACACTATTTAATTTTTGATCTTTTCCAGCCCATAACTACTTTAAAATGTTGTAAATTAATTCAAAACTAATTTAAAGATATAACCCCCCAAACTCAATGTCTCATAAAGCTTCTAAATATGACCAGTGTATAATTTCGCTAAAGTTGCCAGCTATCCCACCAAGTTTAGAATAACAAATCTTAATTTAGCAGGAAAAAGTGTAAACAGTACCAAAGGAATAGTATAAAGAAATAAGCTATTCAATTTGGACTGCAATTACCATACACTGCTGCAAAGCCATCCAGAAAACAAATGCTTTCCCAAAATTCTAGAAACAATTGAACGAAAAATCTATTATCAGACCAAACATTTATTTCTAAACTTCACTGGAAAAATACAAATGATTGAACTCTGTTGCAACATCCCTTTTTTTTACTTCTTATCGCAGGGTTCAAATAAATAGCTCTATACTCTACTTAATGCAACAAGAAAAAAAAAAAAACAGAGAAAAAACTGCCGTAAACGTAAAAACAGTAAACATCGAATAAATAGAATGACAATGATAATAAAATAAAATACTTTAAAATAAAAGTGCATAACTGAATATTTTTGGCTCCTTTTTATGCATAACTGCCTAAACTGGCAACAGTAAATATCAAATCTCGCTAAGAGGTAGAATAGTTAACGTGTGATCTAAAAGACAACAACTACCAATTTCGAAAAAATTTTCGTTTTTGTTAATAGTAAAAATCAGAAAAAAAAAAAAAAAAACAGGAAAAAAAGTAGACATCCAGAGTCAGGCGTGTTTTGTGGTCTTCAAGAAGCCTTCCTTCCATCCTTTTTTAATCATTAAAAATGTACAAGTGAGAAACACAAGTATGGATAAGTGTAAAAAAGTTCACTCCAAAAGTTACTGAAAGCAAAAAAGCACCTTCCACAATACTTAACAGACAGCTTTAACAAGTAAATACTTCTACTTTCCTTTGTCGCTCCTTTTTTTTTTAAATCGATCATCACTAGACTTTCTTCTATCTACAATTTTACTTTACAGAATTAATGGTATCTTTCAATCCATGAAGAATTCCAAGTTTCCCACAACTGCCTTGTCAAAAACTAACAGATTCAGTGGTACTCTCCTTCACTAAAAAAACGAGTTCAAATAAATTAAGATCCCTCAGTTGGGCGTTCGTGTCTAACCCCCACAGTTTAAAGTCAACGTCTTAAACGCCCCCAAGTTTCATTTCCATAAAAATTCAACAAGCACACTTTCCCAATAAATATTAATGTCCCTGGAAACAGCTTACTCGCTCGAGCTATTTTTAGCCAGTACAACCAAAAAACTTCAGCAAAATACAAGTGTTTTAATCCTGCCTTCTTCATTATTTCAAAGAGAATATTACATTTCCTAAACGAAAGATGTATTTGAAAAAATTATTGTTACAAACTAAATAGGGGAAAATAAAGTAGCAAAATATACTTTTCCTTCTTCTCCAAAAAAACATGATATCACTTATTCGAGATAGCAGGAAAAGAACACTAATTACACAAACTTCTCTTACAAAACGTAAGAATAAATGTTTCGGCCAATGAAAATGACAGTTACCACCAATTTCCCCGGGCAACTGAAAAAAGATTTACTATACTGCCTCTAAGTAAAATATAAGACAAAAAAATAAAATCAGTAATCGCATTTGCAACTTGGCTTCAAACGGTTCGAACGACATAATAAAAAACAGTTACAGGATTACAATATATCAATCATAGTATACAAACACAAAAACCTTTGTTCACCCTCTTGAGCGCAACATAACATTACAAAACAAATTAAATTCCTAAAGGAGTTGAAACATACAGAAAACCCACGTCTTTTTCCTGAAATCAATAATCAATATAGCCAGTAACCTCTGCTAGCGAACCATATCTACATATTTAACGTCATTTCCTGCACAAAAATAACTGCCAAAGAAAGCGTATTGCAAGCAATATTTGGCTCAAATGTTACTTCCAAAGTGTTTCAACCCTGAAATCTTACTGTAAAAAATACTTCCAAGGTCGTGAAACAAATATGTCCTTTAATCCTCCTCCATTTAGTAAAATTCAAGATAGAATTTGTAATAGAATAGTACTTGCTTAGAAATATAGTCACCATTAACAACAAAAAAGTAGTTCTGTAAAATACTTCAAAGATTTTAGGAAGTTATCTTCAATTCACTTTTCTTCTTCACAGGCACAATCGAAACGCTGACGGGTGATTTCCAGTATACGAAGCTTCTTCGGTTTACATGTTTCTTCAGCCAATGAAGTGTCAAGCCCCAAACCCGATCTATCATTTTTCACTTTCTCAAACAGCTAAAAAATAAAAATGTCTTCTGAGAACGAACAAAAAATTGCAGTTAAAACTATAATCGCCTAGAAAATCAAAAAAGAAATAAATCAAATAGAAACTCAAAGAAAAAAACCAAATAACGAAGAAAATCATGCACTATAAGAGTAAAAGTAGTAACCGGTTGCTGAATACCACTGTTATCTTTCCCGAGCCCTGAACCCTCCTTCCATCCAAGATTTTTAAGAAGCTTATAACCTTTATTACTTTCATCAAGGCGTGAAACTACTGAATTTGAACGCAGAATAACACTCTCTGTACTTGTACCTGCCAAAAAACTAGAGTTCACTAACCTCAAAGGTATAAAAGAGAGAAAAACAATGTAAAAAGAAACTTTTGCAAAAATTAAATATATTTTCTTGTTATAGTCTAATTAAAGTATCTGTATAAACATAAAATTACTGTAAATCAGGCCCTTGCATATACGAAAAAACTCAGAAAATTCAAAATAATTCCTTATCTTTACCTGAAACTGGTTTTGCGACACAAGCTGAGTAGACGGGATCAACCAACTGCGGTGAGCGAGGAACAGGTCTTTTGATAGCTTTATTATAAAAGCCTTGTGGGTGATGCAAGTTCCAGCGTTTCATTTCCTTTTGCCTTTCAAATTCCTCCTATAGCCAATTAAAAGCAGTACAAAGTAAGCTTTACAAAGCAAAGAAATTTCTATATAAGTACCCCTAAAAGTCCATATTCAGCTTTCAAGGCTTTCAGCGTTCTTCGTCGCTGCTGTTCAGATGTAAGACCTGTACTTTCTTGTGTAAAATTACATGTACTGACAGGAATAGAAAATAAACCTGGCTCACATCCATTGCAGGTATTGGAACCTAAAATGGGAAGTACCAATACGGTTGAATAAATTACCTTCCAATGCAAAAAAAATAAATAAATAAGTAAACTTTATAAAAGACTTCCCACATACCTACCAAAAATAATTAAAAGTTAGTATTTAAAAGAAAAAGATTATCTTATCAGCAACAGAATTTTAATATACCGTGATGTATGTGGACACGAAAAATGTCAAGTCCGATGGCGCATTCATCGCTATGTTTCAATACTCCTACTGTATCTTCACATATTACAGAACCTTGAAGATATAAAGGTACAGTATTCAACAAAGGCCTTAATTCAAATTCCTTATCATCATTTCTGTACCTTATTTCTGCAACAGCTTTCTGAAAGTAAAGTAAGCTCCAATATCTCAGCAAAAGAAGTTTGTTATGAAGGAACGTTTTTTTATAAGAAGAAAGCTTAAACTTTTTTAATTTACACGCAGAACGAAAAACTATTGCTAAACGAAGTTTTACTACAACTCAAGATTTTCGTACTTGTCACCAAGTCGTCTAAACCAGTCAAACAGTAACGTAAATTGAAGTACAGTTTCAATCAAAACCTGATTCTCTGCCAACGTAAAGAAATTTATAAACACTGTACAGTATGTTAATCTTCTACACAAATGTTAACGGCTAGTCCCTAAACATTAACTACCGAAAAACATTTTTCTAAATAGCAAAACAGCATAACCAAACATCAAAATTTATTCTTTACTTGAGAAAGTTCAGAACTGAGTCCAGAAGGTAGCTTTAAACAAATATCAAATTGATCTCCAAAGCCAAGAAATGCTCCATCGATTGTGACGATATGAAGATCACCATTTTCGCCCACTAATCGTATGCATGGAGGGTATTCAATGCGCTCATCTTAAAACCTTCCACATAGGAAAAATACAGTAATAAGATTACATGCAAAAACCCATACTTCTTAAAAAATAGCATATATAAATTGGAATTTAATGTAGAGTTAAACTGAATGATACCCAAAGAACATTTTCAGGTCACAGATGTTCTGACTTCACTTAGACCAATCTAACGAGTGACGAGAACAAAATATATTACAAACAATTTTGCCTTCAATTGTTTTCTTCATCCAATAAATAAAGTCACCTTCAATAAACTGTTTTATTTCATCCTCCGAATCTTTTTCGCCAACTTCATCTTCAAAACAACTGTCATCAGATACGTTTGCACAAACCTGGGAGATCAAGTCGTACAAACACTCAAATATATCGACTTCTTCCTGGTCCATACCAGTCACATAGGATTCGCCTAGCAAAGTTTCGTCATTTCAGTTCTTGAAGTAATAAATTCCAAAAGTACTTCCGACTACTAAATTTTCATCAATAAAGACAAAACCCCTAAAAAGAGCTTCAGATCCCGTTTGTTCCGCTACTTAAAGATCATTGCATTATATGCACTTATATGCATTATATGCATCACTGCACTTAAAGATCATTGCCATCAATGTCCAAATCAGTCCCAACTTATGAACCACGTTTAGACCTAGACCTACTGGATTTATTAGTACAAACAGTAATATAGCAAATTCGGATTAAAAAACAATAAAAACTCCGAACCAAACAACTCATGACTTCAAACACTACTATGTTGCAACTAATATCCTAAAAACAAGCGCATTTTAAAAAAAAAAACTCCCTGCTCGCTCAATACTTTCAACATAACCGCTAGTCTGTTTTTCAACTTTAAAATGAGCCCGTATGTCATAAACAGTATCAACGCACTCACTTTCCTTAAGAATAAGCTCATCAATATAACAAATTTACCCTGTGACTTACCATGAAGTGAGACAGCATAATTTTTTGCTTTTCTCGAGCTCCACAAATGTTCCGCAGGAACTCTAGAATGAAATATAAAGTTCCTACTATTCTCGTCATAAAAATAATAGCATCTTGTCGATGGATGGTAAAATAATGATGTGTTCTAAAATTTTTAACAGTTCAGTAACAAGTCAAAAGAAAATAGTAAAATAAAAGAAAAAAAAAAGTAAAAAAACCTGATCATAATAATAGCCAGATTCGCTGTTATAAAACATCTTATACTTATCATGGTAGACAAAACCAGGAAGATGATTCTCCCAGAAACTGTTACACACAGTCTCCAAAATCATGTCCGCAATTGAAACCTGCAAAACAACTTTCATTCAGCAATATACTATAAGCCCATGTACGCCACACTTAGAAATTTGACGAAAAATTATGTAATAACAGAGGCTTTTGAATAATCTAAAAAAAAAAACCAAATTTCAATGTTTTAATTCGAAAGAAAAAAGATGAACGTGAGACAATAAATTTAGATTTCTCCATAAAATTAGGCAACTACTAACGAAAAAATAAATAAATAAATAAACAAAAATAACCTCAGTGGAACAATCAGGTGCTTTAGGATCAAGCATGATTGGCTTTTCTAGTCTTTTAATAACTGGCAACAGTACTAAATACAGCGATAACAATAACAGCGCTGTCAATTACGAATAATAATCACGAAATAATTAGGAGACAATAAAGAATTACACAGGATTACATCGATCAAGCCACTAAAACTAACGGTGTCACCGAATAACGCAATAGCAGAAGATGTACAGCAAACCAGTCCTTTCATCGCCCATTCCTTAGTAACCCGATAAGCTGACTGTGTTAACGGCAGTATCGGTTCTTTAATTTGGTCAGCGCTGAAATTTGGTTTTTATTGTCCTGGAGAGGTGCCAACAGTGCCGCCAAATCTTCCAACCATTCGGCATTGCACCAAAAAAAGCGTTGTTTTTGCGCCAACATAACCTGAAGTTTCAGTAGATGTCCTCGTATTTCATCCAGGTATCCCGATATCTTAATTAGGGTAATTTTCCTATTTTGCTGCAGACCTGCTAATTGCAGCGTTTTTTGACATTTCAAAACTTGCGATTTGTCCCTTGACCCGTGACATTTGTACTATTCCATCACCTTAAAGTTTATTAGAATATTCCTCTTTAGTCTTTTTATGCGATGTCGCTTAGTTTCTACTTTAAGATAACCCTTTTGCGGGAGATAATCAGATTTCGACAGATATTTAAGCGGCGTTTGCATCTCTTTACGGTTTCAGCACCCGCTGAATCTGATTTTACGGGCTCATATGTTTGAAGTCCAGCCATTTTTCTGAAATTATACGACTTTGTAGATTCAATATTCCGAAAGTTCAATGTAAGCTTTGACCCGCGTATAATCTGTGTTTTCAAAGAGGTTATCCTTCAGTTTTATCAACTGCCTGTACTTAGTCCTAATTTTTGAGAGTCTCTTAGGTTGATAAACGGTGTTCAGGTGGTTTAAAGAATTGTCTGCTAAAGAGAACGAGAAATAGCTTTTCAACCACTGCTTCTTTTTTGCCCTCGTATGAGTCATATTTATCAGTTAAGGGGGGAGGATATATGGCTGTAGGTAACAAAAAATGAAGAAAAAAATGCGAGCTGCCTTTTTCATACTCCACCGTTTTTTCATTGGCATTCCGATGCCAGAAGTCTATTTGAATTGTTGACTAGAAATGGTCACTATTTGTGTTTCTTCCAAGTGCACAAAGCTATTTTTTATTGTTTTCCTATTCCGTTATCGTTGGAACTCAGAATAAGTCTAAAACAAAAGCAGCTGCAAGTTTCAGTTTGATAAAAGTGTGCGAGGAACACATAGATTTTGTATGTTGTAACTCATAGTTAAAAGTGTAGAAGTACTTTTATATTTCAAATTTTTAAAAGGTGCGAAGGTTTCTTTATTTAGTGGGATAAGTTGGGTTGAAATTTGGACAGACTGAAGTGATGAGAAGTGAAAGTGATATGCAACAAATGAAGCGCTTAGCCGGAAATTAAGGCTAGAATTCTGTTGATGGTAACAGGCACTGGACTGTGATAATTGAAATTTGAGAATGATACCAGTTAGTCATTGGGATCGTTTTGATTATACGGGCCATGGGGAAGGCTGCTTAAGAAAACCTGCGTGTGACGTGTTAGCTTATATCGTCTCTCTTGTCTTCTTTTTCTGGGATGAAACAGTTTAATCATTGTTTTATTTTATGCTTTTAAATATGTCTTTAGTTGTTATTAATTTCTTTTGCAGTGAAGGAAATGAGTCAGACAACTGTAGGACCATATGGACATCAACAGGATCCGGAGAAGATTATTCAAGCTACCGCTCATATTGAAGATAAAGCAGCTGAGATAAAAAAAACCATTGAGCAGTTAATCTTCATGTTGGATCTCCAAGACAAAGTCCCCTGGTCAGTTTAACTATCTAAGTGTTGATGTAAACTACAGCTGTTTGTTGGTTTCAGAAGAATTGGAATTTCTTGTGCTTTTCGTTTCTTACAAATTTTATAGGCTATTACAACTACAAATGTTATTAAAAAAGTGAAGTTATTTAGGCCTGAAATGTTAGATAAGTTTTCGTCGTTAGCTAGTGCCATGACTCAACTACAGTCAATGCTGAAGAAGTCAGCGTTACCTTCTGGTGCTGAAGACTACGGGTTATTGTTACGAACACATTTGCTCGTTCCACACCTTCTTTCTATGGACATTGACCCAGCACTACAGGTATGTATACTTAAACATCTTAATCTTTCTTCCAAATTTTTTTTTACATCTTGCTCCTAGGCGTTCATTGGTAGTTCTGATCTAAGAAATCGTTGTTTTTCTTTACCTCTTGAGGTTTCAAATAGCACTGAAGGCAAAAAAAAGCTTGAGATCTAAAATTAGAGCAGGACCGGGAGAAGAATTTTTGACGGATTAATTTTTTCGCTGGGTTATTCCTTTTTAAATTTCTGTTTTTATTTAGAGCAGTTTATTTTGTTTTAAAATTAGGAGCAAACTGAAAAGCGTTTGCATTTCTGGAATCATGATGTTTGCCCCGATTACCTACGAACTAAGTTAACGCCGGAATTGGAAAACGAAGAAGCACAGTTTGAAAACGAGAGAAACGTGCGCGGTGCAGACGCGGTAAACCTTAGTTTGTTTTGCATGGCTTTGAATTTGCACAAAAATAATGTGTGGAGGATAAGTCTCTGGTTCAAAGGAAACTTCTTACTCTGTTTCAGATTCATAAACAAATTACTACTATGAATAAACATGTCGAAACACTGCTCGCAAGCCTTGCCGACACTTCTCGTGGTCAGAATGATATTCGTGCAGACGCGCCTGCTTACAATGACCGAGATACTCAAACACTTGTCAGAGCTGTTGTTAATGGTGAAAGTTTACGCCCTACTCGTATCGGACCTGTGGAAGCAACACAGTCTACAGCAGCTTCATCTAGTTCGACTAGTACTTCAGCTAATAGTCGGACTTCTGGTGCCTCGCCTACCATGCAAAGACGGTGATATATGAATTTTTTTTGTTTTGTCAGACTGCTTTTTAGCTTTTTCAAAAAGCGAAACCTTATGAACTTATTTTGATTATGTGTCTAGAATTTTTATTTGCTTCTATATTTTAAACCTTACGGTATATAGTAGTCTGCCAGCTGACGTTGACGCTTTTTTTTTTTTTTTTTTTTTTTTTTTTTTTTTTGGAG